GTTCCCTTCGAGCTCCTCAAGATCCGACTTCAAGACAAGACATCCGCGTCACGCTACAATGGGCTACTCGACTGTCTGGTCAAGGTAGTCCGCCAAGAAGGTCCATTGGCGTTGTACAACGGCTTTGAAGCCACGTTATGGCGACATATCGTATGGAATGCCGGGTACTTTGGTTGCATCTTCCAGGTACGGGCTCAGCTGCCTGCCCCGGCAACCTCGAACAATCCAAGAAGGCAGAAGATGGGGAACGACCTCATAGCAGGGTTCGTAGGCGGTGTTGTAGGGACGACGTTCAACACACCACTAGATGTTGTCAAGAGTCGTATACAGAGCGTTGCCAAGACGCCTGGTGTAAGACAAAAGTACGCTTGGGCGTGGCCGAGCTTGGGGGTTGTTGCGAGAGAAGAAGGGTTCAGAGCGTTGTACAAGGGCTATGTGGCAAAGATCTTAAGGTTTGGACCTGGTGGTGGCGTACTGTTGGTGGTGTATTCCGCAGTGTTGGACATGTTCGCCAAGGTGGCATAGACATCCGCGTGTTCTGGAAATGGAAGTATCGGTGCGAATGATCTCCGACTTTCCGCTCTGCTCAAGATGATGTGCTTTGCTTGCCTATTTTTAATATTGATATCGGAGTTTTCAATACACCACCGAAGGCAGAGAGTATCTAACCATGGCCAACTGCATGCCCCTGCGTATTGACCAAACATCCAATACTATACAGCCTCACAATCTCGTCGAGCTAGGCAAAGACATGTCACAAACTTGCTAGTACCTGGCGCTGTGGTTGTAGCGATTCAGTGTCGATTAGTTGATTACTTATCTGAGACGCCATTGTCTGATGTGCGACCCTCTAGCGGAAGATTGACGCAACGAAACGCAGCTAGCCGACATCCAAAGTAGCAATTGATTGATTGTACGCACCAGATCAAGCAGAACTAGCCACCTTAATGAGGCGAATGAGACAGTGGATGATTCCAACAACGGTCAGCAGTCAGGGGAGGCCCCACTAGCGTACGCCTCATAGTCCCACATGCGAGTCGATCCGGGGTTGGTGTAGGACGAGATCCTTCGAGAAGTCTGGTAATTTGAGGGGATTCAAAGGATCATTTACCTCGTCATCCAACGGCCGTGATAAGGCACGGAGCGATCGGTGGTGCTAGGAGCTGGTACGGTGTTTGGCGATCAGATGAGGGTCCCGAGCGCCGGAGGTATCTCCAAGCGGCGGCTATGGACCACCAACGTAAGGATCAGCTGTAGTCTTCGGATGCGCAGATGTGCGCGCGGCGCAATCTGCAGCAGCAGGATTGCAGGTTTATATGCATTTTGTAGATGAGTTGAGATGAGCCTATAATGCTTAGGCCGAGTCATGGTCTTGCTTTCCCCCGCAGCCGCGATCGCTTGGCGACCGACAGCACCTGCAGACTCCGGCCTGCGAAGGGTCCTCCGATCATCAGCCAACACATCAAATCTTTGCGACGAGCGACATGGCGTTAAAGCAGTGCAGCATGTGCGATCGCACATTCACCAAGTGTACGTGGCTGCCGAACGCGTGTACAAAGTGTACTGACCCCAATTCCAGTAGAGCACGTGAAGCGGCACGAGCGGTCCCGTTCGTCCATCTCAAACCTCCATCATCAGCAGTGAGCTAAACACCATCTCAGACACACGAGAGCGCCCCTATGAGTGCCCGACATGCAAAAAGCACTTCTCGCGCAGGTGAGGCCCCCAATGAAAAACCTCCGTACTAGCGTCCAACCTCTCCATATAGCGATGTCCTGTTTCGGCACTGCAAAGGCCATGCGCAGAATGCGATGAACCGGATGAAGAGTAGTGAACAACAAAACACCAACGACCAGCAAGAGTTCCGACACAACTCCATGGACGAGAATCAAACATCACGACCATCTGCCTCACGGAACGTAAACGGCCCGACTCCAGCAGCAACACCATTGATCCGCGAAGACTCCAACTTCTCGCCCATGTCCAGGAGGAGAGAGTCGCAAATACCGCAGATCAATGTGAATAACCACTACAATGCGCATCTATCACCTCCCACGGATGGCCGTCATTCTTCATCGCGGTTACAACCGCCGTCACCCGGTGAGGACCGGATCGAAGCGCTGATCAACGCGGCCCAACATCTGGAGCCTGGAGCAGACACACCCTGGCGGTCGCCATCGCCTATGATTATTGCGCGTGCCGAGAATGTCCAGATGTCAAATCGAAATCCCCATGAGAGCATGGGTCCACCTATCGACCCAGCTATGGAAGCGCTCTCGTTCTCGCCAGCCGGGCATGTCTCAAGTTTGGACCAGTGGGCTTTCGAACTCGTTCAAAGCAACAACCCAGTCCCCAATCGCACTCCTGCAGATGCGTTACAAACTTGGCTGTTTCCGCTCGAGGGCGATATGAACACTCCCCAAGGATCGCATCACCTCGGCGTGGAAGGCTTCTTCGAGCACGGAGCATTCCAAGCACTCCCAGAAAATCAGGCCAGTCCATCGGGCAGCAGTGTCTCAATAGCAAGCAGAGTGCCGCGAGAGCGATTCCAGCGAGTCCAAAGTTGTTGGCCCTCCCGGAATCGCAAATCCTCCCGGCTTATGCCCGATCTGTGGCAGAACCTTGTAGCGTGTGAATGTACCAACATACTGTCGGAGGTCGGCTCTGGAGCTATGGAGACGCCTATGAGTGAAAGGGAGCGGCGGAACTCGCGATGGGGATTGGATGAGGAGTGCAGAGGCAGACTTCAAAGCGCCTTGCACAACTTACCGGCATCTAATCCACCAAGATCCGAATCATATGGCGACACTGCATCTTCGAGCGGGGATGCCGCAGGAAGTCCGAGCATCGAAGGTGTACAATTCCCCCCCGCCGAGATCTTGGACATCGCTCTAGAGATGTATCTCTACTACTTCCACCCAACCCTTCCGATTATCCACATTCCGACGTTCTCTGCAAAGAATGCGCCACGGCCATTACTACTTTGCATGTGTCTCATCGGCCTGAGTATTCTTGGTACCGCAGGTGCAGCCAAGTTTGTCACTCGCACATTCCCGGTAAGCAATGCGATAGCTGTACTTCTCACATATACTGACCCTTGACAAGGCTGTGTTACAACTCGCGTTGGCCGAGCTACAGACCCTTCCAACAACAGATCATCCGCCACATCGGCAAATGCGGATCATTGCCACTAGCTTGCTAGCCTTGAATCTAGCGTCTATCACCGGAGTAGGTAGTAATCATCGATCATGCAAGTCATGAGCTAACGTTCATGCAGCGGAAAAGCCGTATTGCGCAAGCTGAGAAGATGTATGCAGAGCTTATCGGGGTATGCAGCCGCTTGTACTACGCTTTCTGACGTGACTGACTCTCTTAGTTTGCGCAAAGCCAAGGTATCTTCTCTGCCAATGAGGGCGTGAAGATAGATCCTCTCTTGGATGAAATGATCGACATCGACTCAAAGTGGAAGGCTTGGTCAAAGGTCGAATGCAGCAAACGCATCATCTTCGGTCTTATCGAAGCAGACTGCTGGTGGGCAGGCTACCTCTCGACAGCCCCAATGATTCGCCCCGAGACAGTCCAGATTCTGCCACCCTCAGACTATTCGCTCTACCACGTTAACAGCGCGGCGAAGTGGTTCCATCTCGTACAGCGCGGTGCGAGGATACACTCGCAGAGGATAACACCATCGTTCCACCCGACCCCAGGCTTAAAGCTCGACGCATCAAGCTTCCGATCATTACTAACTCTCCTGTTACTGCGAATCTATGAGAGCAATGACAGGCTTGCTCCCGCGACAGGAAACCAGAAGCAACTTGAGCCTTGGCGGATATACGCCGAAGATGCCCGGAGTCGAGATATCCTTCCCTTGCTGGTGAACCTCTCCGGCTCTTCAATAGACGCGCTTCGCACTGCGGATCTGAATTCTGCTGTCCTTTGGCATGCTTCCTGCATGGTCCTCGGAGCGAATATCCGCTACTTCGAACTCGCAGCTGGACGTTCCGGTCCCGAGCCTGCCGTCAACGCTCTGGAAGACATTTCAATGTGGTGCCAAACACCAAGCGCGAGAAGGAGCGTGTTGCACGCTGCACACATCTATAAGCTGCTCTTCGACCGCAAAGTCAGCGACATTGTCAACCCTCACAGCGTAGTCGCGCTCTTCCACGCCGCCCTCGTCCTGGGCCTGTATATCTTCGCTCTTCCACCGACAGACAATAGGCCCATGAGCGACTCTTGCATTGAGCTCCTCGACCTCGTAGACTGGATTTCCGTCGGCCAACTCGGTTTCATTGACACTCCACAATCGCCCATAGGGTTCGGAGACGCTACCCAAGTCGTCAACTTCATACACCGCGGCGGTAGCTTCAGCATAACAGGCATCGCACTCGAAGGAGGGTATCTTGCTGCTCGCCGCACTCTACTACATTGTTCAGACCTCATGGAAGGCATGGGCCGGTGGAAGAGCAGAACGTTCAGCCAGATACTACACATCATGAGCGACGATCTAACTGATTACGACGGTCGCGGCAACGACGATGGGGACGATGAGGTAGATGGCGAAGGGGAAGAGGGCGAAAGGAATTCCCGGTGACGGTTAGCGTCCTCTTCTCAGCAGTGTCTTTCAATTACTCAATTGCAAGGCCTGTGGGGAAGAGGATGATGGAGATGACCGAAAACAAGATCTATTGATGGTCTTTGATTGTGATCACAGCTAGTTCGGGACGCTTCAACAGCGTGGTATAGAACAGTACGGAGGGTTTGTTGGTCCTGGAAGGTGTATACGATTTGCATTGGGTGGCGTTGAGTCGCATAGTAACGGTGTTGCACAGCGACAGGCAGAGTTAGGATGCGGATCCGAGGTCTCGAAAAGCAAAGTGTTTCTCATGGCCATCTACTTAATATATTATACTTCATTCCAATCATGCAGCGCGCAATCCCCTCCTAGTGGTCCCCTTCTCTGGAAACACAGTCATAGTGTTGCACTGGAGCCCAGTCCCACTCTAGACCTTTAGCCCAGTCAGCTTCTCGATGAGCGTATCAAATGCTTTGCTACTGCAGTCAACGATTGATGCAGCAGTAGCCCAGAAGATAGCCGCTGGTATCATGCTGATGACAGTGATGAAAGTAGGGTATCGTGGGAGGCCGGCGAGCTGCTGCTGTTCTGGATCAGATGTACTATCTGACTCCTCAACATCGGCGTCATTCTCCTCGTCCTGCTCGATAAGCAAGTTTGGTCGACGCGGTGAAGGCAGTCTGGACTGCGTGCGTTGCAAGTCAATCCATTCTTCAATCTCGGAATCCGCGGTATTAGATGCGCTTTGGAGAAAGAGGGCTCTGTCACTGGCTTTCGCAGGAGTTCCGCACATGATCAAGTCGCCAGCTGGTCCGCCCTCCATGACAGTCTCTATCGGTGCAAGATCCATGTCCCGAAATCGATCTAAGTTCACTAGCTCCCTCTGCTCCGCCGCTTCCTCCTCTTCCACTCTGGTATCCCTCGCTGAGTCGACAATTTCTGTCGGCGAAGAGGCACTGCGGCGGCTCTTGTGCGGAGAGCAACGTTTGCCTTCATGAAAGTCAAAATAACTGGGTATGTCCGTCAAGGGTGTGTCTGGCGTAGTAGCAGAGGGCGCAAAGTCGATGTGTCTGCCGTTGGGAGTCTGAACGACGGCGCGGGAAGGAGAAGGGAACGCGATGAATGAGGTTGACACTGGTAGTGCATCTTCAGACGCACGACGGACATTGCGGGATGATATATGCAGTCGAGGTCGGTCGATGTAGGCTTCGGGAGACTGCTACACATTTAGTATACGTCCGGCAAGGTCCCTGTAGTGGGTACTCACACCAAGCGCACCGGTGGCCACCCGTTCATCTTCCACGGGGTGCATGCCGATGCCTTCTTGGAGATACTTGCGATCGCTAGCCTCTTCGATAGCCAGCGCTTGACTTGATACGTCATGATTCAGTGCGTCAGTGTCAAAGATGCCGTCTGTTGCAGCAATCACTGATGCGCATTCCTGCTGTCGACATTGCTCCTGCAGGTCTTTTTCGATCGCAGCGCGACGAAGCTGCAACTTGCCAGGCTCATCAAGCGTGGGCTTATCGTGGGTATAGAAGCTGCCGTAGTCCAGGACAGGTACAGGTGGCGCAGTCTTACCAGGAAGATTCATAACGTCCTCGATCGTGTCCCCATCTTTCTGTCCGCCTGTACTGAAAGCATCCTCTTCATCGCTCAGTTCCATACTGTCATCTTCATCTTCGTAGCCTCCCTCTCGTTCATCGCCAGAATCGAACACCTTCTCCTTCTGGGCGACTCGCTCTTCCGCGAGGCTACCAGTAGGTGTCGCAGTGAGATTGAGCTTCCTTGCGGGTGTTTCGTCAAAGTATGACGTTGCGGAGAGAGGTGAAGGGCTGCGCACGTCATGGAGAATCTTTTGGAGGGTGCGACAATCGGCTGGGGAGAAGTTGGAGCCCCGTGAGTTGGTGGGTGTTGAGCTAGAGCTCATATTGTCGTCGCCTTGCAGAGATCGGCTATCGTCTAATGAGGCTGGTCGAGGTGGTGTCGAAGGCATCACGGTCGGCGGTGGCTGCGGATCATCTTGGGTCTTGTTGTTTGGTGACGACATGATAAACACGTGGAATAATGCTTGCCGGTTGAGGTAGTCGCGATCAAGAGGGAAGGCGACTGCGAGGGAGGGACGATGCATGGGATGCAAGAGCGCTGATTTAAGTGGGCACGACAAACAACGAACAAGCGCGATGACAAAATCAGGATGGGGCAAGCACGTCTGAGCAAAGTTGAGATGATGATAACAGGCGCATGTGACAGCCAAATCAGCATGCCTACAACCTCACACCTTCTTCACCAACACGCACACCCCTCAATACGTATCCATCCCTCCTAGCTTCAGCCGCTTCTCTCAAGAGCGTCTCTTCGGTCTCCTCACTGCGCGCCTTCCATCTTACCATGTATGGCTTTGCCATCGTCGTGCTTCCGACAGCATCAAACGCGTCATCACTAGTATCTACCTGCACTTCATTTCCCTGTTGATCTAGCGGCGGCAAGATGTCGAAAGCCCATAGCAGTTTCGCGAGCACGATGAACATACTGTTCTCAGCCAGATGTACCCCAGAACAAATCCTGCGGCCAGCACCAAAGGCCCAGTGATCACGGCTTGCAGCTGGGCCGGCCGCGTAGTGTCCACTTCCATGAGGGTGGTTGAGATAGCGCTCGGGTTTGAAGCTATGAGGGCCCTCGAATACATTGGAATCGTAGTGTATAGGATATTGTTGTAGACATACGACTGACTTGGCGGGTATGTGGATGCCTTTGTAGTTTATTGGTGCAGTTGTGTAATGTGGCGTACCGATGTTGGTGACAGGGCGTAAGCGTAGAGTCTCTTTGACGATGGCGCGGATATAGGGCAGTCTTGGCTCGTCTTCGAATGTTGGTGACCGGGAAGGCGGAATAACACCTCTGATTTCGTCGATTGCTCTCTGACGTGCGTCCGGGTTCGCGCTGAGGTAGAGAATAGCAGTGTTGAGTGCCGCGGATGTTGTCTCACTGCCCGCTTCGATCATGCTACCAGCTAGGAACGCCGCCTGCAGTTCACTTATACCTTGCTTCTCGTAATCGCTCTCGATGACTAGAGGCGTAAAATATCAGTACATGCTTCACGTACATTTCCCACAGCGACATCACTCACATTGCTTGACGAAGCATTCCGGGGCCTGTTTGGTCTCCATCTGAGTCTTGAGTGTACTCCAGAAAGACATCCATAAGTTGGCTTGTTTGTCAAAGTAAGGTTTGACGCCCTTACGCCACCATTGTAGTTGCGGGGGGAGCTTGCCGAGAAACGGAAGCGTGTCTGCTAGGTACGTCCCTGGTTTCGCGATCGTGGAGAAGTCGTTCATTATGTCGTAGATACCGTGCACTTCGTCGCAATCCTGCCACATGTCAGCATTGATATTCTCATGTGTTCAAATGCGCTACTCACCCATTCTGGAATGCGTCGCCCATACGTGCTAGTCATGATGACGCTCACAGTGTATCTTCGGATGGCCTTGTAGCTAACTCCATTCCCTTTCGCTGCATCTGCACCCTTCAGTATCTCTTCAAGCAACATCTTCGCCTCAAAATCCTGACTGGGCTTGAACGTCGCACTGACAGCAGGTGTCAAAAGCTTATGACTGATGCCTCTCAGCTTCCGCCATTCCGGTCCATATTCCATAAACAGGAATCGCATGCCACCACCAAGTGCATCACCAGATACCGGCAACGGCGTTCGAGAGCTTGTATGCGCAGATTGTTTATCCAGAATCTCCTTACATGCTTCGGGAGAACAAATCATGTACCAGTCGTTCCAGCCAAGACGGATTTTGTAGACCTCGCCGTACTCGCGAGCCCACGCAGTGATTTGCTGGTGCGGCTGCTGGCCCAATTGATGTGCATTCCCAAGAACCGGAAGGCCAGCGGGACCTGGCGCGGTCTTCGTGCCAGTTGGCGGTCTGTTGCTGTATCGCCTGTACAGTAGAAAGATCCAAAAGGAGAACAGGATGAAGGTGATGGCATACATGTGGGGCTGCGTGGAGACGATACTGCTCAAGGAGTATGCAGAAGGAATCTTGATCGGGAGTATCTAGACAGGGACGAGTATTGCGTCTAACAATACACCCATCTCAATGAACGGACATGCGCGGATATGCCCATAGTATATCAACGTATCGCGAAGCGTAGAGTGCTTGATGCACCATCATGCAGGTTCCCCACATGTTCGGGTGGATGAATCCTACCTAGGTACCCTTTGCATACCTAGAGCGGGAGAGGGGAATGCGGAGTAAGTCATGGAGCCATGCTTGTGAGCTTGTTTCGACATGTACGTTACTCCAACTTCCGACGTATTCGGTCCGTGTACGAAGACTTTGTTTTGATGTTGGGGAAGGTCTCATGGCGCGTCCACGCGGTACTTCCAAGATCGCGCGCCGACGCAAGCTCGGTCGACACTCGTCATGTCTTCCTTACCAACAACTAGTCGCGTATTGCTAACGTTGTCTGCACATTCCCTACATTGCGATAACAAGCGCAAGATTATGTGATTCTTCAAAGTAATCAGAGTGCGCAACCGAGGCCGAGCCACTCTGCCCAGGTGGATCCGGAATTCTGGCAGTCCTTTAGTCAGCCGTCCCTGTCGGCTCTTCGTAGCCACCGAGCGCATCCATCGTTCCTCCAGGCAGCCAGAGAATCGTGATTCAGGCGCGCAACAAGCTCACGGGGCGCGTCATAGAGTCCATTCAGCTCTACGTATAAAGGCTTGCGCGTTAATCTCATAACTGACATCGTAGGATATGCTTACTCGTCTCACAGCTCGCACGCCTTTGCGCTTCCTTACATCCAGCCTGTATTTGTCCAGTCTGCGCCCGTCAAACCTCCAATCGTTGAACCTCCCGAACACATTATCGCGCACGATGTCCACCTCCACCTTCTCACTCGACCCCGCCATCTTCAACAAGACACTGTACAAAAAGATAACAGACATATGGTTCCCTGGCGTCGACACCAGCGGCAAGGAGTTTGACATGAGCATCGCAAAGCGCTGGTTCGCAGGCAGTCCTGAAGAGCGAGTTGCCCTCGACGGCCAATGTAGGGATGTCTGCGGCAAAGCCCTTGAGGCCATTGGCCCAGAAAAGTTCCCAGAAGCCAATGCGCAACCTTTCCTAGAGGAGATTGCGCGCGTTGCGGAGGAAGAGAACAAGGCAGATGGCGCGACAGGAGAAGACGCTGCGTGGACAGCACTCAGCTTCGCACTTCTGTTAGATCAGATGCCTCGCAATATCTACCGCACAGACGAAGGGCTGCGCCTGGTGTATGGGCATTACGATCGCATGGGCGATGCGCTCGTTCGCAACCTTCTATCCCCCGCATCGCCCATTGGCCGCCCCGACAAACATCCTGCGCTCCGTTTCTCTGCCGCGCATAGGACCTGGTTCTACATGCCGCTCATGCATTCTGAAGACCTGTCCGCCCACGATCTCGCCGGCGAGATAATAGCGGAGTTTGCGCGAGAACTTGAGGGCTTGGACGGGTACAATGGCTCGAAGATGTTGATTGAGAACTACCAGAAAGCTGCGAAGGAACACAGGGATCCAGTGGAGCGGTTTGGTAGGTATCCGCATCGAAATGCTGCCTTGGGTAGGACCAGTACAGAGGAGGAGAGGAGGTTTATGGAGGAGGGTGGAGCTACATTTGGGGTTGCGCAGAATCAGAAGGGTGACACTGCGAAGTCAAATGGAACGTAGATAACCTAGTAGATGCTGAATTATTGCTATCCTCGTCATGGCCTTCCAATGTGTGTGTATGCGTGCTCGAAGTTTTCCAGATTGATGTGCTAGTAGTGCAACACAGACGCAATACTACAGTCTCTCCCCCGGTCTGGGTGCCTGGCGTAGATTTCAACCCCTTTTAGCTGATAAAAGAGCGCAGCAAGAGTAAAGTAGATACCTTTGTAAAGAATAAAACGTCTTAAATAAGGCTTTGTTTACTAGCTGTTCTTCTTAATAAGGGTTACGCAATGCTAGCAATGCTAGCAAAGTGCGTAGTACCTAGCAACAAGAGATTTAACAAATTACAACTCCTAAAATCGCTAAGACGCAGTAGGCACCCGAACTGGGGGGGAGACTGTCGATTGTAACCGCAATGCAAGTATTCTTCCTGTCACGAGATAGAGTATCACATCGTTGCGCACAAAACATATGAAGTCTTGACGCGCTATCGTACAACCAAGTTGATATGCTTGACAGGAGCATGTATATCTGTTGACCCTTCAATCTGAATATCTCAATAACCTACCTGATAATGCAAAAAGAGGTTCTGCTGCCAATCCTGGTCTCTCTGACCCCGCCAGGGCCTCCAGAAGCGCAAAAAGATGGGTCTTACCGCGACTCGAACGCGGGGCCTCTCGCAAGCTATGCTTGGGTTTGCAAGCGTCGAAAGACGCTTTCCCTAAGCGAGAATCATACCACTAGCTGCTGTGTGTTAGTGAATGTTGGTCAGAAGTTGAATGGGATACATACACCATAAGACCATTGAGCTGTTGCAGCTGTTGATGGAGAGACTGGCAATCGGTAACTACATATTGTAATTGCACCCGATCTAGCACATCTTGTAGCCCCGCTCGGCATCAACAACCCACAGCGATTATGAAGTAATTGGTTGAGTAATGGTGGAGCTACGGCTCAGTGTTGGGCGGCTGAGGTCGCATAAGTGGGGACCACAACACGAACACGAACGATGGAGGGGTAATCTGACTAGCTTATAATAGTAGAGACGATGCACACTGATAGTCCTGGACTGATCTGACCATTGGTCGTTGAGATAGTCGGAAGCTCAAGTAACTCAGGGGGTAAGCTTGACGTGGTACCTTTATACACAATCCCTTTTTTGCCACGCCAAACAAGCAGCACACTAAGTTCAATCAACGATGCGTACAACAAGATATACAATAGCCTGGAGATTTACAGGATAATTTCAAAACAATTTCACATGCCAAAAATGTCCCGGGGCGTACACAGTTTTTTATTAATTATCACCAGTGAAAATAGTGGTAATGCAAGGAGATTCTAACTACGA